TTGGAATCCTATGTTTGATAGATTCGAGATATACAGGGTGTCCCGAAATCAGCCTGCCAAACTGCATCAGCGGCTTCTACCACTAAAAATAGGAAGGAAAGTTTCAATGAACATGAGTCTAGATATGTTTCCTAGGGAGCTACGGAGGTCCTGAAGAAGATATTTATTCAATATTTCTGAAACGCCACGTGATAAAATGATGCAATTTGTTACAAGAGCTGAACTTTCCCATGCCCGATGAGGTAAATATAATCATTCCAGTTTTATTCAGGAGTGAATAAATCAGCGTGCATGGGACTATATCGAATATTGTTCAAACTTGTATGCATATTAGTCGCAGAGTTTCACAGAAAAACTCGTTTTTGGAAAGGCAGAATCAAATTTTGTAATGGAGGAACTCTTCGGAATTCCATAATATAATTGAACAATGAACAAAAAATGATTTGCTGAGAAGAAATTATCGAATCTCATCAGTGTTGATAACTTGAAAATGAGAAGTTATGTTGTTGATAAGGAAATTGCGTAAGCCAAACGACCTACTTAGGTACATCCAAATTCTATAGCCACATTTTGGTCAATGAGCTGTATATTGATTCTTTTCGCCTAATATCATGTATAGATTTTGACTTCATGTATGTAATTTGAAAGAAACTCTATGATAATTTGATACTCTTCGAGTATGATGAATGGAATTCATCCCATATATTTGTCATTTCAGATGGGATTATGGGACCATTTTCATAGGATCGAATTCTCGGGGATCCCTAATTTCAATTTGGAATCACTACCCGGTTTTTGCACAGTTCGTTCATGAGCTGGAGCATCAAGAAATCCCGGTAAAATCAAAAAGTACATTACACAGAAAAAAATAATGAACCTGATATCAATCACTTCTGATGTTTGACTACATATTCATTACTATGATGTTTTCGAAATCAGATGATCAATTGTTCTGGAGATATCATGAGTCATTTCGTTAAGACGTTGAGTATCCATAACTATTTCAGAAAATGGTGCAAATTTCTCTTCTGTTCATCCTCCAGTTGCAACATAATTTCATCTATTCAGATTATTCATTCCTCTCACAGTTTTTCATAAATTTGGAGTTGGTTATGTGCTTGGACCTAGTACAATAGCTATAAATTCGTCTTTTCTCGACATTTTCAACACTTTGCTATCCCCAGTTATATTATGCTGAACAGAACAGACCGATCTACGCTTCGGACTATATCCCGTGCGATTTGAGGCGTCTCCCGGGAGATGGAGCTCACCAAGAATAATTCATCCCTCTTACTCAGATGCGCATTTCCGTGACCTCAAGAAATAATGATGAATTTCAATTCTCCAGAACTCATTCGTTGCAAGATCTGCACGTAAAATAATAGTGTAGGTCACATAGAAAAAAATTTTTGATACATGATTTGTATGAACAAGCCATCAACACCCTACTGAAGAAACAGGAGGAGAGTACGGCGTTTATTCAATATACAGTGAGTATTAATCAATGTAAACACAACAAATTATCTTTTCAACAACATGAACGCCTAGTTATAGCTGTCCCCTCACGAGTGATCCGTACTCAAGACAACCATTTTGTAGCAACCTATAGTGGATTTCGTAGTTTCCAGAAAACCCAACATTAGATCTGAGCCACTAGATATCGATAAAATACCAATATCTCCAATACCAGTTCTGGTGAAATTGATACCGCGAGAAGAATCAGAAAACCAAGAAGCCTGAAAGAAGAACAATATTTCCATAAGCTCTATCTTGGGGCATCGCTTTATCTTCTCAGGTAAAGCACCAGCTGGTCGATATCTGAAGTGCAGCATTCCCAGGTATCATATGGTGACTATATGACGTCTAACAGACGGCATCACAATGGGTCAGAAGACGTACTATCCAAACTGATGTCTACATAACGTAAGTAAGTCACAGCTAAATGAAGTCACTTCCTAGGTCTTTTGGACGGCAATGAGGCGTTCAATTATGATTGAAACTGACGTTGTTCATTAGTTGTGGACGTCGTAGTGACGTCTATTCTTTGAAAAATATGCCCAGGCTCTTCGTTTTGAGGTTTATTCTATTCATCACTTGAATTAAGAACAATTTGATAAGAAGAGAATTCTTGTTTTCGAATGATAAATTGATATATTTCACATATAACAATTATTATTCAGAGCTCAAATAGCCAACTCTGATTCAGACCATTTGAGACAAGTCCATTTTTATTCCCATGAATATGAGGAATTAGCGAAGCTATTTCACCAAAACACTCGATGTGATATCAAAAAATGTTTGATGATGATTTCATGAAGATATCGACTATCACACAAGGCACGTTCATAGTTTCGACTGTCATTTAAATAGTGGCAAAAACACTCCTTTCGCCATTAGAAGAGTCAACCACTATCCTGGACAACAGCCACTATTGTTTCCACTATCATTGATTTGGATAGCAGAAAACATCTCCGAAAAAAGCGAAAATTACTAAATCGAAACGAAACACCGAAACATTACATTGTATAAAGAATCATCCCGTCAATCGAACCGCACGAAGAAACAAAACAAACAAAATTCTATTAGAGAGAAGGCGGGATGGCCGACGCGGCCGATGCATGATGATGACGTCTGATGCTCATCTAATCACACTTTCATGCATCCGTGTTGCCAGATTTCAAATACACATACATAAACTATAAAATATAAATCGAATTGATCATCGCTTCCAAATAACATTTGTTTTTCACTTCATTGAGAAAACTAAACAATATAATATCTCATCATACTTTCTTGTGACGACGGTTTTGGAGTTGAGGGCCATCTGTCATCTGCATGATATCATAATTATCATTGAAGGAGGTATTCCATAGGCAAATTGAATTCATTATAGTCGCAATCCAGTTCTTTGTGGCTGTTCATCACAAAATACAATATTGAAAAAATATCGTCACTACCTAGGAATGAGCAGACATTGACAGTATTGTTACTCAATAAGCTATTGCCATCTGCCTAATTCTGTGTGAATCTATCGTGCAATTATCATCCTTGAATTCTAATATTCATTAAACAAGTTGATAATAGAAGTAACTGGTGATTGTAAAGACGGCAACATTGTAACAACGTACAAATGACACTCTATATGAGATTGACAAGTGTTTGAAGACCAGATACCGACGTTCGTAAGACGTCCAGAAGATGCCGTCTATGTGACGTTGGAAAGACGACGTCCCTTTGACGTCACAATTTGGACAAGTGACGAACTTGACCATAAATGACCAAAATCAGCAGTCCATTCTCATCAGTTTGATTACCTGGGATGTAGAGCGCAAGCTTGCAAATTTGTAGCAAAATAGCATTATAGGTAGAGCCACCATATCAGTGAGTACAATATATGGTAAGGATATTCCGTCTTACGGAGGGGACGTTAAGCCTGCGATACCGAGGCCGTGTATGTTGGACTCGTTGGAGATCCCTATCTCTGGTTGGAACATCAGATGATTTCGCAAAATTTCTGGCTGGGGATATTGTGATCATCAGCGTTGGTGATTAGGCTGTGTAGCAGTCATAGCGCGACAATGAAGAAACGAGAAGAAGACGAAGAAGAAGAAGAAGAAGGAGAAGAGCTCAATCTTGGAATACTTGTAGTGTATCTCAAATTTCACGTAACAACCTTGTGGAACTCAATTTGGGTTGCTCCACATTTCATTGAAATAATATGCTTTACTCATATCACATTGGATATGTGTGGCTGAAATGCCACAACTATAAGAACCGAACGACCTGGCTTGCTCCTGAACCAATATTAGATATCGTTCACATGATTTCTCTCGCATTATAAACTCCAATCTCCCGACATAATCCCCACTACATAGAGGTTCCGCCGCAGCTCGTGCATTATGTAGGTCAGAGGAGATGAATTATTCTTGGCGAATTCTTGTACGAGGTGTGCGGAAGCCTTCGGAAAATGTAGATGCGACTGCGGAATGCACTGGGTGATATATGGGGAATGCCTGGAATAGACAATCCCGTAAAATTATAACGTGCAATAATAATTATTGTTACAGATGCGGTAAATAGGATAAAAAAGTATACTATTCGACAAAATATCTCATAAACAAAACATTAATCTCAGAAGATATATTATGCAAATCAAGAAACTGATAGGAAAACATTGACTATGGAATTGATACATAATAATACCTCGGAGTGTGTCAAATTAATTCGCTACCAAACATTGTCCATATTCCAGATACACGATTTGGACAAATAATCGTCTTTAACATAATAATGTTCATATTTATAATCATTGATCAAACACGTTGCAAAACCACATTGTCACATTTCTCATTTGAAAACATGGAAGTTATCAGAGTAATACTCTTCATTTCGCGTAAAAAATACTTGTCTGTATGGTCAAGATGGTTTTTTTTTTAATAATTTTGTTGTTATTATATTGCACTGACAATTGGTCATCACCTGAGGCATGATTTCGATGTTCAGTAATCTCTTTATCCGTACGAGGATGAATGTCGAAGCTGCTTTCGTCAGCAGAAAGTTTTGTTCATCAGTTCATAGTTGTTATGAAAGTATGGCAATTCGAAACAGAACACAGGACATGATCTCACGTAAAACTCCATCAGGAATACTATATACACATCATTATTCACATCTCAAAGCAACAGAAAATATTGAATAATGAATATGTTGAGTTAGATGACACCTCACTCAAGTTCTCGATTGGGAAACTCGAATGATTATACTTTCATCAGATTTCAATAATAAACCAATATGGTCGATGTCACTTTCACACTATCTGGTGTCAGATGACCACAAACCGGTATAATGCGTCATACCACAAGAATTCGATACTGTGGCCAAAACTACAACAGTGACAGCTCGAAACGTGTTGTAAATACTGTCAGGATGAATGGCTGAACTGTGAAGAGACTTCAATATAGATTACTTAAATTAGTTTTGTATTGATTGCAAATACTCACTCGTAACTTTCAGTTCCACGACGATACTACTAGGAGGGTGGGTGGACATTTGGCACTCGTACAGACCAGCATCAGACGGCTGGACTTTCTTTATCAACAGCCCCCAGTTTTGAAGGTGCCGAACGTGTTCCACCATGAACCGATCGTCAGTGTTGTATGTTGCTAGTCCAACGGTGAGGAGATGGTAGTCATGCTTACGTACCCAGGATACCTGAGGCAGAATAATATTTTCGTGAGATTTGGCAAGTGAGCATCGGTAGATAAACAGTGAGGGTTCAACGACAGAAGCAATGGGGGACATTTCAGGTTGATATAAAAGTCTGTCTTTCTGTAGCCTTTCGACATCTTGGTCAGCAAGGTATTCTGAGAATATCATCACTCATTATGAACCCCAAATGATTGCCATTTCCGTAGATTGCCAGGTCCCGTGACCAAGATAACGAAGGCGAAATACTATTTTCGTAACATTTAGCGGAAGAGCAATCTGTGGCTTCTCAAAGCCTTTGGTCATCTCCGTTGGGTATTTTGAGAATTTTTTGACCCATGTCAGGTCCAGAATGAGCAATTGTCAGTGTTGTGGGTTGCCAGCGCCCTAACACAGACACCTGGTGCGAAATGATATTTTTGTTAGATTTGACAAATTCAGCATTAGTATTTGATCAGTGAGGATTCATCGAAAAAAGTAATGGGAGACATTTCATTGATTGATATGAAAGTCTGTTGGCTAAATGAAGCTGGTGTTCTAATAGCATTGCGTTATCTTGGTCAGCATGGTATTCTGAAGATATTCGTCGCTAGAAAAATGGCGAAAAGATGATAAATATGGTCATGTACCCAGGAAGTCTGATGCGGAATAATGTCTCCGTGATATTTGGCAAATAGGCATTAGTAGATGGGCAATGAGAGTTCAACAACCAGAGTGATGAGAGATACTTCATTGGTTGGGATGAATGTATTTTGGTTACAGGTAGTTGGGCTCATCATACCCTTTCGTTATCTCGGTCAGCAAGGTATTTTGAAAATCTTTTAACTGATGATTAGTACCCAAATGGGTGATCATCAGTGTTGTAGGCTGTCAATGAGTACATTGAAGCGAAGAAGGTAGTCATTTTAACTAACGTACCCAAGATACCTGAATCGAACAAATATTCTCGTGAGATTTGGCAAATTATTATCAGTAGATGAGCAGTGAGGATTCAATCATAAGAGAAATGGGATACATTTCATTGGTTGGGATAGCTGGGCTTATCATGCCATTCCATCATCACGGTCAATATCTTCAAAATATTCTCATTCATTCAAGGCCTCAAATATTCGAAATTGAATGAAGTTGGTTGAGGGATAAAATTCGTTGTCTTTTCTGAGTTGTTTTTTCGATGTCTGTATATCTTCCTGAGCGAGAATCGATTGAGTATCACACGGTTGAATTCTTGTTCAACATTTTGTTCAACTAATATTGAAGTTGAACTCCATTTGTTGACATAGATATATTTTTAACTGATAACTCGAAATAGATTCACGTGAAAAAATCATCAGTAACTAAACTACACAGGGTGTTTAGTTCACCGACGTTCATCTGGATGAATATAACAACATGAACTATCATACAAAGTGTTACCGATTTCGAGATATCATGTTTTTCCAAACATTTTATCTGATTTCAAATCTTTTTTCTCTGGAAGTTGAGAACGTATTATATCGATTTCGAAAGCGTTATGGGATCTTGATGTGTTGAAAAAATGTTTTGGCTCGATGGAATTTGAAAAATTATTCTTCATAATATCGAACTTTGAATTTATGAGCGATGCAATCTCGAAAAGCGTAACACTATGTATAATAGTATATGTTATGTGAACGAATATTTTCAAAGTCACCCACCATTTACTTCCGTATATACGTCGGTGAACCAAACACCCTGTATATGACACGAAATTTGTTTCAATAACAAAAGTAGTCAAGCGTGATTGAAAAAAATCATGGATTACACTGTTTTTTTGATATTCTAAACAAACTATCATTGTATATCGAGACTGGATATACCTGTATATGCATTGTGCCCAACTGCAATTACGATTTCAATTACTAGATTTATTGAAAAAGATGTTTTTTATATTTCAATTAATGATTATTTTGTTGGTGGTCAGAATTTTATTCCAAATCGACTAGATGATTTCGTCTGGAAAATAGGTGCTGAACATGAATGTTTTGTGTGCCAGATATGTACTCTCAGATAGAAATTAATTGATTCGAAATCATAATGGAGAACTGATGATCGACATGATAGTCTAATGCAATATTATGATCATAGCTGATAAGCAATACATATGATATTGTAGCCGAATAAATGATATTGTTTTTATCATTTTCGTAACATCTAATATTCTATGTAAATTCGAAGGAGTAGGAATGTGATCCATTCAGCTGAATACATCTGAGTGATATTTTTATTCATCTTCTCTTATTCTGGAGATTTCAATTGAATTTCAAAATAATGTCGGGAAAACAGAATCAATCAAAGTTAGCACGTTTTGATTCTTATCTCCTACTTGAATTCCCAACTCCACCAGAATACGCATAATCTTGTGATAAATAGAAAGCATATAATCATCATGATATGTGTCAATCCCAACCCATCGTTTCTATATATGCCTGGGAAAGCGAAGATGTGGAAAGTCATGAACAAACCGAAATTCATGAAGTTTACTCGAGAAAGATATCTGTTTGAGAGACCAAGAAAGAGGAACATTATATCTTCAACTCACCTTTGATAAAAGACATACTCTCAAATATTTGTGTGATACTCTATACCAGAAACTCATACATAAAAAGAATGCAATGAATTTATTCACCAAACCAGCATGATTATTATTTTGATATACCTCATTATAATACCTTTTCTACTTTTGCTTCAATCGCGCCATGAGAATTACAAGAAATGATGAATGAAAATGGGAGCAAAAAAGTTCAGGATACCTTGAAAAATCTAACACCTCTATTGAAAAACTGTTTTACTCCAGGTGGTGGGAGAAGTGGCTCCCCTCCACCGATAAACAGGCAGGAAATGTGTACTTTATCTGCCTAGGCAGAAAAAGTTCGTTGATATGCTACCTAATGAAGCTACTGCGTCAGCGAACCATGTCGTGTGATTGAGAATTGTTTGGAAATCTCATTAGTTTCTATTATTCATATTTTTAGGAAGCAAGATATGGATCAAAATGAAAAAAATTAATTGATCAATTTTTTTGTAAACCTAGACAGATATTCCTGTAGAAGTTACGAAGATGACACTTCGTTTATGACTATTCGATGTATTCCTTCATTGGATGACTACTCCACCAATTATATCAAATCCTTGGAATTTGATATAATTGATATAGGGTGAAATAAAATTATCAAAATTGGCCATTGAATAACACTTAATATGTCAAGCTGCGATCAAATTTTGTATGGGGATATTTCAGTTATACCTTGATCAAATAGACTAGTCACTCTTTCGAAGAAGAATTGCCTGATATAAGTATAGTTGTTTTTGAAATTTCGACCCTTTCAACGAACAACAGTAAGCCTTGAGAATCTGAATATTTCACTTGTCCTCATTCACAAAGGGAACTCGTTAACTATGTACTTTATTATAACATTTTTGTTGTTGACAATCGGTCGACGGATTTCAATTCGGGAGGGTGCTGCTGGTTGAAATCGCATGTATATTGAATGCGATATTTTTTTATCAACCTCAGTTCGTGAAGTGGCTTCTGTCATTTTCATGAGATTTCCTTTTGATGTCGAAAAACTTTCAGGAATTGTTATGCTCCATGTAGAACTGAAATTCAATCTCCTTCTGAAGATGCAAACATACTCAGCGGAACACGTGTCGATATCAGTTTGGTTGATGGTAGTTGATGAATTCATCGGGCAAATTAATCTCATTCTCAATCTGCTTCAGCATAATATCCTTCCTCAAATTTGCCTCTTACCTCCACTCAACTACTAAACATATACAACGCATAAATTCTCATTAGGATTCTCAAATGTACGATGAATATTATGTTATGTTAAGCGGACATTATAAAGTTCAAAAGCCGTTTGCTATGTTTATGTTGTGAAGTTTGTTGAGCAGGGAAATAGCAATTCCATTTCAGAAACCATTTTGTAGCGTGGTATGATCTCAGAGAACCGAAAAAAGTTAGCGTTATTGCGGAACATCTGACAAGATTTATCAGGTCGAATATAACATAAAACCCCTATTTTCCGAAAGTAAGTGGATGAATATCATGACTTTCCATGGAACAGCTTTTTATAATTGTTGCCAGTATGAAGAATAATTCAATACTTCAGAATGTGAGATATAAAAAAAATTAATGGTAGAAGAACAATTTTGAAAATAAGTTTTCATTGGAATAATCTGGCAAGAAGAAAATAAATTCCGATTTGAATCATACCGACCATCACCTACTGGCTGAGGATCAATCGAGGTGGAAAATTCACTTTACTAAACTGTTTGCAATTTTTCTCCTCTTTCCTACAAATGAAAATCTGGGTATCATTTCATTGAACGTGTTTTTTTTCATGTTCTGGTTCCCACGAAAAGGGATATCCTGCAATGTTCAGAGAACAATTGTTGATATTTCAGAAGAGCATCGTCCATGAAAATATCTATAAAATATAGCCAGATCGCCAAATTTTTCACGGTCTTCCAGAGAAGTGAGTAAGTTTGTGAGCGAGGCATCGCCCACGAGACGAATTGCCTTTTTTTGGACAGAATCCAACAGTTTCAGGGTATGTTTGGGTGCTGCACTCCAAATATGGAAACAGTTTTCCAGGACAGGTCGAATCTGTGCCTTATAGATCATGAGCAGCTGACTGGAAGTGAAATAGCTCCTGGCCCGAAACAGAAAACCGAGTTTTTGGGATGCACTTCAAGCAATTGATATCACGTGATTTTCCCAAGAAAGATTATTGCTGATAGTGATACCGAGCATCGAATTGGATGTCTTCAAAGGTATGGTTACTACTGACAAGCATATGTTGGGCACAGTGAGATCGGTTTTCCTAGAGTAAAGGCATGCTTGCGTTTTGTTTGCATTGAAATCTACCAAGTTAGTAGATCCTCATTCGAGACTTGCTGCCAAGTCCATATTTATGGTGTCAACACTTCTCTCCCGTTCGTTTCTGATTTGCCTGGCTAGTATTGGAGCCCTGGAAGAGAAGGCGGTATGGAAGGTTCTATCAGATGATTTGCCCCAAAATGTCACTGAAGAAAGAAAAAAGATAATTTCAAAGTATCATCAGTTACTCATTGGTTATAATATTAATTGTCGTTGACTTTTTCGAATTTGTTGAGATGCAGGGAAAGCTGTGAAAAATGTTCCATCCTGTATGTGAAGAAATCCAGGCTTCGGAGTATATGAAATAAATATGATAAATAATTCAAACGATCCCAGTAACCACATATTGGATATATCACATAATATTTCCTCAAAGCATCCTCTGCCCATCACCAAACTGTAATCAATCTCTTTCTTCAATATTCTCATCAATGAACTGGATGAAAAATTATAAAATGTATATTTTTTGTTCGATAAATAAACGACGTTCAGTGGCATGAAGGAAGCACAAAGGGATCAGAGGATAACCCAATTTTTCGGTTTTATCGATTGTATGTGCACAAACAGGCAGGAACCCGTACAAAAGTTATTTTTCCTAATAAGGGATTCTTGTTCGATGTCTGACTTTGCTTTCGATTCGAGTCCAATCGACATGACATGCTTTGTTTGTTTTCCATGAGTAAAAATATTTGGATACAATTGGCTCAATTCTTTCTCTTCTGGATATTAGGTTGATATGTTTCCGGTCATCATACTCATTGAATCAGGAAATGATATTGGCACTCATGTGGCCACCTGGTAGATAAAATCAATTAGGTTTATATTCAATTCGTTCCAGATATTTTCGAAGTCCAGATGGCTATTTCCAAGATGAACAATATACTGTTAACGAGTGATTGTGTGAAACTCGCAATCACTGAAAGCTTCCTAGTGTTATCCTGTTATACTATTGATGAACGATATTCCTGCCTTCAGGTGGAAAGTCTGATATCGTTTGATTCAGAAACGCATTCGACTCTAGAAAGCGCTCTACTAATTGGTATATTTCTATTTCAGTGAGGATAATTAGGGGAACCATTGAAAACTATCAATCGAACATAATTTTTTACATTTAATAAAACTGCATACTGCATTACTCCAACTATACGTCCCTGCAAAGTCTTATTATCAAGTTTGTTGTCTGTTCTACATCAAAGTTTGCCGAAACAGAAAACAAATTCAACACATACCTACTATTATAGATACAGTGTGTTTCTTCTTCCCTAGTAAAATACAATTTGATTGTTGAAGTAATGATGGAAGGTTATCTGGAATCTTGCATAATGCGTGTTCCATATGAACACAGTCGAAGTCGTTAGATTCGAAATTCGTTTTATAAAGAAGTTTGCCTATTTCTCCAGAGCACACTTTGTAAATGGACAACTCTCGACATTTGAAAATCATTTTCGGTCATCGTTTTCTTGCGATAAATGAAGGGATATGTGTTGGAAGTATGAGGAGTCTTCGGATTCGCCAAGTTCCATGTTGACCGAATTGAAAGGCACGTGAAGAACAAAATATCTTTTTTCTACAAGCAGAAGTGCGGGAAAAATTCATATAATATTCCCGCGAAATATGAGTGGTGGGTGACACAATATAAACATTTTTGTTTTTTTTTGTTGCAGTATTTAGTAGGTTTATACAAAATCATCCATGAAATTGCACTATTTATTGTGAAAATGTAAAATATTGAAATATAGTTGATTGTTATATAAGTCAATCAAAACAAGAATCAGTTGGTGTAATTCTGAGAGTGACAGACAGAGCGTTACTGTCATTTTCAATTTAGTGGAATTGCGATAAAAAACTTCCAGCTACAGATGCGAACAGATGAGTTATTTTCAACGAATCCTTAGGAACGGGATGTATCGAATGGTGCAATAGTAGAAAACTTAATACACCAAATGAAGAAGAAGTATTTTTGGCTCATTACCTAGAAATGTCTGAAACCTAGAGGCCAAACACCATGAGCATGTTGGCTTCTGCAACAAGCTTATCTACATAATGCTCCAAACGGTACACACAATAGATATATCACGAATTATCAGAAGAAAGAGAATATATCACTATTGTTAGTTGTTCCTATTCGGAAGAATGATTGATTGAACGAATCAATCGATTTCCTACGCTTGAGAAAAATATTGTTCCTAACTTATGCGGAGAGTTTATTTCCCGCACTCGACTGCTTGCCTGAACTCCGATTCGAGTCGTTCGGGACAACGGCATTCGCGTGCGGGAAAGTATTACTTTCCGCACTTGTAAGGAAAAGTACTATTTTTCTCAGTGAATCGAGCTTCATTTCTCACATATTTCATCACTCCAACAATCTCAACGATAACTGAAATTTCATTGTAGTGGAAACATCATCGAATTGACTGAAGGTTTTTATAAATTTGGTGCTAATTTATGTTCATGGAGACATGGAGAATGCTGGAATGAAAGAATGAAATAATGATGTAAACATGATGGAAAAATATGGGGAAGTAGGGTACAGGTAGAACCATTTGCATTTGGACAGAATACGCTAACTTCCATCAAGACCTCACAGATACCATAGATAGATAATACGCATGCACCTCATCATCGTTCCGAAATTGGACCAAATCTAATTAGTTGAGCATGTGTATATGCTACGCATGTATTACATGTTGATAGGGCGATTCGATTGAATATGCAACAGAGGCAGATTATTTCATTTATATGCAGCAGGAGGATCCTTGAACATACAATACTCGCTTTGATGTCGCTAATTTTCATTTAGTAAATACACCGTCTAACTAGTTAGCTGCTAATGAATTTATCTTCTAAGTGACGGATGAAACGTGCGTTGCGAGAGGTGTTGAGAAATACTAATTCAATTGATGATCTCATAACTATTTCTCTAATTGTGTTTTCCTTATCGTAATAGTTGGTGTAGATTTTCTGCTGCTAATGAATCCCTTGGCATAAGTATTAGACAGAATTATGAATAACGTTCACGATCCTCATGGAATATGCTGATATAGAAAGTTTATTCTTTACTCCCACATTATAGTGAGGTGTGAGGACCAATAGTCTGTCGCCTTCCCCAACTTCTGTATCCAGAGTTATTGTTTTGGAGGGGTTGTCTTGAATCCTGCATTGAAACTTATTTCAAAGTGATTCTTCCTGAGGTTTAGATTTAGGTTTGCGATAAATCAATTCGGGTTGAATTATTGAAACGTTTCTCCGTCATTTTCAACTCCTAATCTCAACCAGGAAGTAATATATATTTCAGAATATACAGTTGATCCTTCACGTGGTGAAATTACCACAACGGTCGGTTGAAAAAACGTGGAAATGATAAATTAACGCAGAAGTCGCTAATATATCAACGTTGTTCTCAACCAGTATACCAACGTGTTTCCAACTTCTAATTTCAACATGAATAACAGTTTGGAACCAGTAGAGACAATGGTGAAAACTGCCTGGTTCTCAACGAGATTTTTCACAGGACATATCAACGTTTTGTTGATGTTGATGAATTTTCAGTCGTCGAATTTTTGGTTCCTCGCACGTTGGCGAGATGTAAACGGAAGTAATACACGCCGTTGTCTGATGACGATTGATGTTAAAAAACATGTATTTCAGGATTTTTTTGATTCCTAACGGTTATCAAATACGCTCAATAAAACGATTGAGTAACGTTCATTTCAAGATTTCGATTAACGCTTCAAATAAACGTTATACCAACGTGAGGACTTTACCAGTTCATAGAGAAGTAGATTTGTATCCATGTGAAATACACGTTTCCAAATGACGGTTGAATCTCCATAATATATGCAAAATTGATGAACGCATGATTCTGAGAAAGAAAAAAAGGTCGAGGAAATATGGGGAATCCTCAAAGAATTTCATCAAATAATCAAGCAGAAAAGCAAGTTTTGGGGATGCATTTAAGCAATTGATGTCAAGTGATTTTCCCAAGAAAGTTTATTGCTGATAGTGATACCAAGAATCTGAATGGATGTCTGCAAATGTATGGTTACCCTTGACAAGCTTTTGTTGGGCACAGTGAGATTGGCTTCTCTAGATATTACATCGGAAGCTTGAACAAGTATTCTGTAACTTCGAGAGCCCACAATCCACTTGCCGATGATCTCAAAGTAACATAACTCCTCCCACAGAAACAATTCATTCCGCTTAAAGTCAAATTTATGGTCAAGGGATATAGCATCAGCTCCGTACCCTGTACCGCCTCTCAGTCCTCAGGTGTTCGATAATCCCCCGATTGCATTAGCAAGTTAGCAACGCCAAAGGTAAACTTGAACTGGCACTTACCACCCCGTTATTGAACTTCCTAACGACACACGGCAACGTTGCCGTGCCGCCTATTTGCGCCACCACCACAGTGCAATTTTCGGTGGCGAACACACCTGGCTTGCTGCCGTCGGAGTTGGCTCTGGCTGAGTTCGACAGGGTGCTTTTGTTTTTGTGACGCTCGTAGCTGCGGCGATGCCTGAAGATGAAGTTCGACGATCTAGAGCGTTCTGTAACGAGAATTGTTCATTGTCAGCATTGAGATATTAATAATTCCTCTGCTGGCTGTGCCCACCCTTCAATCGTTTAGTCAGACTAGCTCTTGATATGCTTAATTGAATCAGAGTTCGTAACGTGGGGTTTTCATATTCGATGATAGATGGCGTGAGCGATAGACAACTTCTTGAAAACTTTCAAAATGCGTTTCGAATCGTATGAAGACTGTCAAGGATGTGTTTTCCCTTTTTCGGGACCTGAAGAGTCTTGTTGATGATGCACGAATTCAACAATAGCTGATGATGAGGAGCATTTAGAGACAGGACGCAAGAGAGACAGAGCGCAACAAATAATGTATGCGAAAACACCTTGATCTCGACTGAATCTTGACATATTTGTCACGAGTGTCATGTTTTCGACATATACAAGATTTTTCAAATATGATTGTTATAAATCAAGACCAGTAATCATGGACTGACTGCTGCAATAAGTGAGGATTATTTGAAAATCCGAACATTCGTTTCATTCCATGTACCAAAAGGAAGTAAATAAACTATTATATCTACTACTACTATCTATACTAGAGTTTTCTTGAGTTAGGACTATTTGTCGTTCATAAAATCAACATTGAAAGTCGAAAATATGACGCACCGTTTCCATTTGAACAGAAAATTGTGGAAGTGAGATTGGGAACTCAAATGGATGTGTTATAATGCTTGTAAATTTGGTTTGACATTTCGGAAATTTAGCAAGATTCTCCCACGCATCTTCCTATTTTTACAAAGTAGGCCATATCGAGAGATTTCGAAATTTTTTTTATTAGGAGTGATAACACCATTTGACTTTCTATACATCTTTGTCAGCATGTACTAGAAAAATTTATCAGATTGGTGGGGGATATAAGTGATAAGTACGCTATAGCTTCTCCTATATATTCTCCTAGTTCTATAGAAATAATGTAACTGCACAATTTCTGTTGAAGCTTAGCTATACAGGGAGCTCCTCATTCTGGTTGAGACTGCTAGGTCTCTCAATTATTATTGAAGATAGATAGATCCTTGGGGGTTCCACGTTCCTTTTCTACTTTTCAACGAACTCCTTCCAGAGTTTTGCCGTTCTATAGTCAAACAAGTTTTGACAAAGTGCTGTTCGACATATTTCGAGGTTGACAACGAAAGGATGTGCTGACTGGGATTGTCGATTTCGTCTGACTATTCTCGTTTATAAGACGAAGGGGTATTTTGAACATTCATACTTTTCGGAACATATGTCTCTTACAATCATCATATTTCGTTTGTTATATCGCACTATAGTAGACAAAAATTACCGATAATTTTGGATGAGAGCGTGTTTTCTTGAAATTACAAGAGTTTTTTCCGTATTTTGACGGAAGAGTCCAAGTCCAAAGGAATAGAGCACCTTCACGAAATATGAAAATAACCGAATACTAGTGTGAATACTCAATGCCGAATCCCATTTTCATAAGATAACACGCTTCAATGCAAAACTATCTGGTTATTTTTATGCACGAATGTACTTGATTGGAATATTTCACGAATGAAGAAATTTTCGAAGTACCTATAATGTTTTACTTTTTTATGCGAAGCATTCACCAAGACAGGACATTTTTTTTCAATTTCTGAGGTAGATCTCACATTTATTTGTATTGTTCACTGGTTTATATCGACACGGTTTCAAATGTGTTGTTATAGCGACGGGATGTTTTCGCAGTGCAATTTTCGCTGTGCAGTGCAATTACCGCTGTAATTTTTCGATAATTCCATTGAGACCATAATACAGCTCACTAATGCGTTTTTAATAAGACACCCTACTACTATGAAGATTTCCTTCGAACAAAAGAATGTTAGTAACGAATTTTGGCTTTCAAATATATGAAAAGCCAGGTAGAGCCGTTATCTATGACCGACGAACAATTTTATTAGCAAACTAGTATTTATGTATGGTTTAGCTGCTTTTGAAACTCATAAACTCATGATGATAAAATAATGAGTTTATATCAACAATCTACTGCCAACTGCAAAAAACATGAACTATATTTTTCCCACATATTTTATGACAAATAGAGTTCGTTTCGTGTCGTATAATTCGGGATTTGTTCCAGAACAGTTGCTATGCACTCAAAACATTGAATGGAATGAAACAAGTGTACGTGGCTGATATCATATTATGTTGCCCCATATTAGAAAAGAGATATGGATGCAGCATCCGCTCATGGATGAGAATTATGGAAAAAGCATTTGTTTCGTTAAATCCATTCCATGTATTTCAAAAACAGCTGCAACCGATGAATAAGTGACATCCATAATTATCGTTTTTATTCATGGTAGGTATACTATTATTGATAAAAGTATATTACTGATATATAGTGATAACTTTATCTACTTGTGGAAGTTCTTACTTATTCAGATCAATATTGATCTGCCTTTATTTCTGATTGCTTGTGAATTGCTTAGAAAGCTGTCGAAATGTCATGATAGTAGAGCCGGCTAGGTCAGTCAGTCAGTTAGCCAAAGTCATTCACATTGACGAAATATTGTCAAGTAGGGCAAATACGTTTGGAATAACATCACTCAAACTCTCGTTTATTTCATGAACTTCAATCATTTATCAGTTATTCCAAATCGAAACATCAAGTACAGTATAGTTTTCCTCAGGCTGAGTTCATAGACCTTAGTTTCCGTAACATGGCCAAATACATTAGTGAACAATAACACCTCGCAGCGGCGATTCATATCGCGGCATATTGCAAACCAAGCATAGAATTGAAATATAAATAGGTAGTACCCGAATCGACAAGTTACTCACTTGGTTTTCATTAGTAATAAATAGTGGTTATTAGTAATCCAGACGTGATTCAGACTTGCATTTCGGCTTCTCGAACTGCAAACATTATCTTCGCCATAGCTCCTGCCAGAATAATCACCGTCTACCCGCCGTCGATACTGGTGGTGTTTCATTCTAACTTTTTGAATATATCATCACACATCCTCTGCGAATGTCCCGCAGTGGCTCGCCAGAGAAGAATATGCCTAGGCTCCACATACCTGGAGCCTGCGCAGCTGAGAAACATCTGCCAGAATACTGAACTTCTGCGAAGGAATAGAGCAGTTCAGGAAATGACCATGGACACATGGACCAGTAGGCTAGGGGGGCTCTAGCTGGCAAGAAGAGGGCTCGGGAGCCGGATTAGTGACAGCTGGATCGCTGGACCTGAGGGCAGCGAAACAGGGCTCACATAGAGTCCCATACGCGGAACTGACTGCAGTCTGGCACCAGGAATGCAAGCAACCTGGCTCCTCTGGAGGTCTGGAATGAGCCGGGACAAGGAACACAGCACAGGGAGAAAAGGCGATTGCATATCTATGCACAACATTGTGTAAAATATGTTTGTGAAGTATTATTTAACATTTGTTCAAATAATCACTACAGTCATTTCGTGAAATGAAACAAATGTTTGTGTATATCAATTTGTGAAATATTTGTACATATCCATGTAGCGGAAAACTACACAAAAATATGCACATCATCCAATGCACACAATTGTATTGACTAAATACACCGCTTTTGAAATAATGCTACTATTTGTGTAATATTTTGCCACAGGTGTGCAATTTTCTTCCACTTGGTAACGGCGTCCTATCCCTTTCTCCTTCTACCTACTTATATCTCAATCTCAATATTCTGAATTCGCACTTGACCTGTAGATGTGTTACAAGGAGGTTACAAGTGTGTATGGTGCAGAATGTAGAATCTTCTCATTTATTATTATCTGGCGAGTTGGTGAATGATTGATGATTGTACTTAATGACCATAGGAATAGTCCTTCCGCAAAATCATTTCAGGTTTACTAGTGCCACAAAGTGGAAGATGTAATAAGATGTATCAACAAAGTGTCGAAGACATTCTTCTTTGTTGGGAACTGCTTGAACTCTGGTATCTACATTCGCCGGTAAGTTATCATTTCAATAACACTTAATAATAATAAGCTTCGACTTGCTTTCAATTTCAACACCCATTGAAAGCAAGTCGAAGTTAATAGCTAAGCATTAGGTTTAATTGAAATAACTTACCGACGAATGTTGATGATAGTTCAGGTAGTTCCCAACAAAGAATCGACTTGATACATCTTATTACATCTTTCAATTTTTGCCACTAGTAAACATGAAATAATTTCGTGGAAGGACTACCTATGATCATTGAGTACAATCATCAATCATTCACCAACTCGCCAGACATTAATAAATGAGAAGATTCTACAGTCTACGGAAGTTCACATACTCTTGTAACGTTACGAAATTTGTGTACAAGAAATACACAAATTTGTGTTATTCTCAGTACATTGAATTGTGAACATTTCCACAATTTTGTAATGCTAAGTTCACCCACTTACACAGTTTGTGCACAAATATCACACAAATTGGTGATATTTGTCGAACAAAATATTGGATGATTTTATATATTTTTTGGTGTCACGAAAGTACACAAATTTTGTTTGGTTTTTGAACAAAATTGTTTTGAAAATTACAAAACTAAATTGTTCGGTTATACACAAAATCTCTCACACAAAATATTGCGCGAAATATACACAAATTGGTGCTGTCACCATTTTAGAAACAAACTATGTAAAAAATCTACACAAATGTGTAAAAATCTTACACTTATTTCTCTCTGTGAGGGGTACCTCATAAATGGCAAGAAATTGCCACCCCCCTTCACAGACATTTTGTCAGAGGTGTGAGACGAAACAACAGGGGTAATGCAATAGATCCAATCGAGCGGTCTAAGTGAACTGAAGGCTCCATCAAGCTCGCTAGGACACCTTGCACCGAATTGAAACACGAGTTTTTTTTCAATACCAAAATATAGATCTCTCTCAAAATATAGAATTCAAATACCTGTTTTATACACACTTGCTGCCGCATTGAAATATACCTAACACACGTATGATAAGAAACTGAGCCTATAGTATCCCTGCTGAAGCCAGAATATTGCC